CGAAGTTTTCAAGCTACACGACTATGTGGAAAATCTCCATTCTGTTGGAACAAGGTAATCTTTAATGAAAACCCCTTTGATGATTTCTACACTGACGTCTGTTTCTGAGCTGCTTACTTCCGGAATTGCTCGTTTTAAAGATTAATCGGACTTGGTTTGAAGTGTTTGAAGCATACTCAGCGTGTTTTCGGCCGGCTTTCTCTAATGCACTTGGCAGTCAGGAGGCCTTTGAGCAGGTAGGTTGACAGCTGCAGGGAACAAGTGAAGAGGCTCGCCCTGGGTCCCCTTGGCCCCTCTCAGGAGCACACTGAATTCCGTGCAGATTTCTGAAGGGCACGGAGCGGTGACTCATTCCTGTGTGTCTGAGCGAGGCTGGGAGAGCTGGGCGATTCTCAGGGTCTCAGGGCCGCACTCGGCCTGGTTTGTGCTAGCGTTTCCTTTTCATAATGCCTATTGTTTTCAAGAGTCCATTGTTTAAACATTTGCTTTAATATTTATTTTTGAGAGAATGTGAGCAGGGGGCGGGGCAGGGAGAAAGGGAGACAGAGAATCCGAAGCAGGCTCCAGGCTCTGAGCTGTCAGCACAGAGCCGGTCAGGGGGCTCGAGCTCCTGAACCGGGAGATCATGACCTGAGCCAGTGCTGGCGCCTGGTGACTCACCTGTGTTACCTGACTTAATCCCACCAGCAGCCTTGCGGACTAGGTCTTCCTCGTACGGAGGAGGAAGTTGAGGTTAAGTGCCAGCGAGTGCTGGGTATCCCAGTGTGGGTTTCTGTGGACGCAGAGCCTGAGAGGACTTTGCTGCAGGCAGTTTATACGGGAGGTGATGGAAAGCAGAGAAGGGAGCACGGGGTAAGGCTGAGACAGGTATGTGTTACTAAAGTCGATGCTATAGCCCTGGGGCTGCGGTCACACCGGGATCTCTGAGAAGCATTCAGCAGGCCGCCTAGAAATGCCCGTCCGGAGGGCGGGAGACCAGCACCCTGATGGACTGGCTCCAGTCACCCGCTGGCTGAGAGCTTGCTTTTTTTTCTTTTTTTTTTTTTAAATGTTTTATTTCTGAGAGAGAGAGAGCGAGCGATAGCGTGAACAGGGGAGGGTCAGAGAGAGAGGGAGACAGAATCTGAAACCGGCTCCAGGCTCTGAGCTAGCTCAGAGCCCGACACGGGGCTCAAACCCACAAACTGTGAGATCATGACCTGAGCTGAAGTCGGATGCTTAACCGACGGAGCCACCCAGGCGCCCCAGCGGAGAGCTTTCTTAATTCCCCAGCATTTCTGGACTATGTGGCTTGATGTTCCCTGCGACCTGGAGAACACTCTGAGCAGAAGAGTGGAGACAGGGACGGGAAAGGGACCCTCACGCAGAGCTGCCTTCCAGAGCCGCACCTGAGATGAGAAAGAGGCTAAAAGGGATATGATGTGTGAGGCGCCAGAGCATCTGCTGAAGGGCAAGGATCTGTGCCCGACGGCTTCCATCACCTGTGCTCTTTCCACACCGGAAATGTGGTGGTTCCCCTGTAGACAAACCTAGGAGATGGGGGGATGCAGGGCAACCCGGAAATACAGAGAACGTAACAGTGACTGTAAGAGTGGGAATAGAAGGAACATCGTCAGTACAAACACCTGTCATCATGTGAGTCCAGAAGGTTCACTTCCTGTTGGTGGTTGGTTACCGTGCGTTTGTACTCCTTGCATGTATGTAGGTTGGAATATAAGAAGAAGGCCCAGAATATTCTCAGTACTGGAGACTATAACTGATTTGGGATTAAAAATATTCTCCATGATTAGAGTTTTTAAGGTATATCACGCATGTAAGATTCTGTTCTCAGCATCTGTGAAATGTGGTGGTGGGTATTGGTGTGGGGGGGTCTAAGTTCTATATATTTCTTGTTGTTAAAAATCACTTGATAGGGGCGCCTGGGTGGCTCAGTCCATTAAGCATCCACCTTCAGCTCAGGTCATGATCTTGCAGTTGGTGTGTTTGAGCCCCACATCGGGCTCTGTGCTGAGAGTTCGGAGCCTGGAGCCTGCTTTGGATTCTGTTATCTCCCTCTCTCTGCCCCTCCCCTGCTCACTCTGTCTCTCTCTGTCTCAAAAATAAACCAACATTAAAATTCTTTTTTTAAAACTCACTTGATAACACCCCAAGGGTTTTTATTGCTGTATAATTGACATATAACACTGTGTGAGTTTAAGTTGTGCACGTTGATTTGATGCAAGCGTATATTGCAGCGTGCTTACCACGGTAGCGCTAGTGAACACTTCCACCACCTCACAAAATTACCATTTCTTTTTTGCAGTGAGAACATTTAGCATCTAGTTTCTCAGCAACTTTGAAATACATAATATAGTACTGTTGACTCTAACCACAATGTTTTATGTTAGATCATCTCTAACTACAAGTTTGTACCCTTTGACCCACATTGCCCCCTCTCCCCACCCACCCCTACCCCCAGCTCTGATAAAACCATTCCGCTCTCTGTTCTAGGAGTTTGGCCTTTTCAAATTGCACGCTGAAGTGCTAGGGCGGTATTTGTCCTTGTCTGTCTCACTTGTCTCACTTAGCATAATGCCATCAAGCCTCGTCCCTGCTGTCACAAGGGCCGGGTTTCCTTCTTCCTTAGGAGTGAGTGGTGTCCCATTGTGTGTGTCTGTACCCATGCACACCCACATCCACGCGTCCCTTGACACAGGTTATTCCCACATCTCGGCCGTCGTGAATAGTGCTTGAGTGCAGAGGCCTTCTTGATACGCTGTTTCATTTCATCTGGATGTATGGCCGTGAAGCGAGAGAGTGCTGGATCCTATGTTCTAGTTTTAATCTTTTGGGGAGCCTCCGCGCTGTTTTCCACAGTGGCTGCGGCAGCTTATGTTCCCGCCAGCGGTGCACGAGTGCTGCCCTTTCTCCGCACCGTCACCAGCACCTGTTGCCTCTTCTTCGCGGTAGCCGTTCTGACAGGTGTGACGTGGTATCTTGTTGTGGTTTGATTCGCATTTTCCTGGTGATGAGAGATGATGATGCACCTCTTGGTCATTTATATGTGGTCTTTGGAAAAATGTTTATTCAGATTCTCTGTCCGTGTTTTTTTTTTAATTTTTTTTAATGTTTTATTTATTTCTAGGAGAGAGAGAGAGAGAGAGACAGCGAGAGCAGGGGAGGGTCAGAGAGAGAGGGAGTCTCAGACTGAAACAGGCTCCAGGCTCTGAGCTGGCAGTCAGCACAGAGCCCGACGCGGGGCTTGAACCCACAAACCACGAGATCATGACCTAAGCGAAAGTCGGACGCTTAACCGACTAAGCCACCCAGGCGTCCCACTCTCTGTCTGTGTTTTAATCGGATCTTTTTTTATTGAGTTCTAGGAGTTCTAACCCCCCAGAGTTGTGACGCTCCCACCAGAGATAAACGGGGAGTAATGTCTGCAGTGAAATGATTTCCAGGGTCTTGGGCCCCGAGTTCTGCCACTCACCCTAGCATGGTGTCTGGCACAAGGGAGGTGCCGCAGGACACTTGTTAAGGGGGAAGAACTCAAGGTGTCGTGGTCTGATTCTTGGGCCAGTCGCACTTGGGCAGGGGCTGGAGCTAACGCAGTTGGTCTGGAAGGTTCCCGCATTGCCGCACCAGAGGCCACACAAATGTAGGAGCTCGCCCACCTCCTGGAGGGCTGAAGTCAAGGCCACAGAGGCTTGCGGGTGACATCAGGGTGTCGGCCAGACCGCGTCCCTCTCTGGGCCTCTGGAGAAGAGCCCACGCCAGGCTCATTCTGGTCGTTGGCGGGGTTCTAGCTCCTTGCAGCCGTAGGACTGGGGCCCCTGCTTTCTCAGGGGGGCCAGCCCGGGACGGTCTTCGGCGCCCCGACACCGCCCGCGTTCCTCGCCGTGTGGGCCCTTGTCCCTTGTGCCACGTCGCTCTCTCACGCGTCACGTCTCTTTCTCCAGCAAACGCGCAGGTGCCTGCAGGAGCCCGACCCGGTCAGGCCTGGCCGGGTGACCCCTCTCTCTCAGAGTCAGCCCTGCCGCAGAGCGTAGGCTACTCTTGGCAGGAAGGCCCCCCTGTCGTCGGTCGGGGCGGGCACTGTGCCGGGTGCGCCCGGGGAGCAGGCCATCTGGAGGCCGCCCGCCGTCTCCGGCCACCGTGGGAAGTGCAGAGGGCTGCAGAGCTCAGAGCCAATGTGGAAGTAGCCCTGGGCCCGCGAGCACGGTGAAGAGGGGTACGTGCCTGACCCACGGCTCACTTCTGTGCTCTCCGCGTGTGCGCTGAGGAAGGTTGGGGCAACTAGGAAGTGGTTACGGAATGGCAAACCGGGGGCTCTTCCTGGACGACGAGGCTCCGGCTGATTGCCTGGCAGTGCTGACGCGGCCCGAACTCCAGGGGTCACTGCTCACACAGACCAGAAAGTTCTTGCAACGTTATTTCGTTGAAGGCGCAGGTCAGGATGGGGTTAGTATCTCTGTCCCCGATTCAGCTGGGTGACATGAGGCTCAGGAAGGTTGACTGACCAGCCTGCCTGTTAGCGGACAGCAGAGTGGAGACCACGCTCTTCTGATCTAGCACGACGGCCACACCCTCACTCCTGCACTTACTGAAAACCTACTGCGCCCGGCTCTGAGCGGGGTGGTAAGGTGTCGCCGCCCACCCGGAAGTCCGAGTCTTGGCCCCCGGTACCGTAATGTATGAGTCAGTGTCCCCAGTCTGGTCCCAGGGGACGGGGCAGCAGGGTCCACTGGGGTCAGGGGAAGTGTTAGCTGGTTGTGGCTGGTCTTGGGTGGTGAACCCCTGATCTGTAAACGGTGGAGACGCAGTGGGAGGTCACTGCAGGCAGCGGGAGTAGCGCGGGGAGAGGTGGCGGGGGGGCGGGGTGGACCACCTGCATCACAGTCTGGGTTTCACAAGCAGACTTGACCCTCTCGGCTTGGAGGGTGGAGGTGAGTACGTACTCGTTCCCATTTTCCGTCTCGGTCCCTCTACGAGCCCTGACCCGGAGCGTTCTGTTTCCGTAGCTGAACTCGATGCCGAGCACGCCCAGAAGGTCCTGGAAATGGAGCACACCCAGCAGACGAAGCTGAAGGAGCGGCAGAAGTTTTTTGAGGAGGCCTTCCAGCAAGACATGGAGCAGTACCTGTCCACGGGCTACCTGCAGATAGCTGAGAGGCGAGGCAAGTAGGCGAGGGGGGGCCGCTGGCGGCGGGGACCCTCCCTGGGAGCGCGGAGACGGTGTCACCCCGCAGGTGGGGTGTGGGCTACGGTCCCCAGAAGTCCGCTCTGGCGTTCGTCCAGAGTGGCTGCCGTGCCGTGTTTGTCTTCCTGTAGGTCGAGGCTGCATTTGGAGGTACTTAGAACACGTGGGGCAGGGTCTTTTTAAAGAAGGTAAAAAGACAAACATTACCCATGATTCTATGGCACAGAATAATCTCTGTCACGGTTTAGGCTGGTTCATTCGTGTATGTGTGTGCGCGCGTGTGTGTGTGTGTGTATGAGTCTATCTACGTAATTGGTATCAAACCGTACATACACCTGGCTTTGTCTCTATCTAAATTTTGTGTGGGATCTTTCCCCCTGTGGTGTTAAAAATTCTTCAAAAGGGTATGTTTTCAAAGCTGCATCATCAGGATGTATGTGGTTAACATTTAACCAGTCCCCTAGATGGACATTTAGGTTCTTTACCTTTACGTGTGGTTCTGCAGTGAACGTCCTGAGGCATAAATGTCCGCATCATCTCTGAGAGTTCCCGAGAACAAACTGAGCTGGGAGAAGTCGGGTGCGGGGTCCCTCGTTCAGCCTCTGTGAGGAAGGGGAGCAGTGTGGTTACACGGCGGGCGGGGGGGGGTGGGGGGAGCCGTCCAGGGCCCCTCTGCTCCCCAGCCCTGTGTCCTCGGCCTCCCTCTCTCCCCCCGGCCCCGGCCTCTGTTCCCGTAGCCTGCCCCTCAGCACACCCCCCAGCCCCTCTCTGTTCCCTTCATTCTGTTCTGTTCCTTCCCTGTCAGTCCAGCCCTCCCCCAGGAGAGAGCTTAAGGAAATCAAAAACCAGGAGGGAAAAGAATAGAAAACAGATGAAAAGTAGCGTGTTGGCGCCTGGGAATGCCCCACAGCCGCGTCGTGTGGGTAAGGCGCTTCTGCCCTCAGGGCGGGTCGAACGGAGGACTTGAAGACGGACCTCCGTCTCTACAGAGACCGCGGCTCCTCTGCAGCCTGTCTGCCTCTAGAAAAGACGGACAGATTTTCTCAGGAGGTGCGGCTGTTCCTGGGCTGCGCGAGTAGCCCGTTGGCCACAGGGGTGAGGAGGCGGCCGTGTCGCTGCACGGCCGTGACACCCTCCCTGGTGTGTCCTTAGATGGCACCCGTCCCGTCACGGGGACCCAGCCCTCCCCTCCCCATCTCCACCTGTTCGCCTCCCGGAGGCCCTGCCGCCAGACCCCGTGACCCCGGTCAGCACTGGGGGACACGGAGGCCGAGGCCAAACCAGCCGCGCGTCCCCTGGGAAACACGCCGCAGATCTGGGCACAAGGAGCCGCGGCACCCGGGGCGGGCGGAGGTCACAGAGCCCCTCCCTGCCGAGCAGGTAACCCCGCGCGTCCAGCTTGGTCCCGTGGATGTTTCCGGAGCACCCGGCACGTCTGCGGGGCCAGAAAGACCACGGGGAAGCGCTCCGTCTCGTGGGGAGACGCCGGGCGCACACGGAGCTGGGGAGCGCGGGGCGGGAGGTTCCCCCGGCTGGGGCGCCGGGGAGCGCGGCCAACTCTGCGTGGACAGACCTCAGTGAAATATTAACGAATCGAAGTCTCACGGTTTGGGACACTTAAAAAATAATGTTCTTCCGATTCCCGGGAAGTCCCCGGCTCCTTTGTTTTAAGGTAACAAAGTGGGAGTCGGGCGCATGGTGCCACGCGTGTGGCTCCGAGAGCGCCGAGGAAGAGGACTGAGACGGCGTTTCAGCTCTCCACTTCAGCCGCAGCTCCAAGGGCATCCGGGCAACAGATGGGCGTCTGGAGGGGGCTGCTGGGGGCCAGCCCTAGACCCCGCCTGGCGCGGCCCACGTCCCTCCTTGCGGAGCGCCCCTGTCCAGGCACGAACGCGGCGACGTTTAATGTAGAAGCCGCTGCCAAAATAAAACCTCCCCGTAGTGAACGTGGGATTTTGGACTCATTCCACTGAATCAGAAATAGCAGGCTGAATTTTTCTCACTTTCCAAAGCATAATTTTTAAATTAAGACAAAGGAATGGAAAGTTTTATCCAGCAGATTATCAGAGTAAAGGATAAAGGGCTGCCCGTGGATCAGGACGAGGCTGGAGAACCCACGGAGCCGGGAGCTTCACGGTACGCCGGGCAGCAGAGGGGACCTGGGACCCACACGCGCCCAGCAGTTCTAACGCCGTCAGGGCACATGTGACCCAGCACGACCCTGACCCACTTCTGCCTGCCACCCGACATGACTCCCACTTTCCTTACTGCTGGGTGCGGGGTATCTTGACAGCGCAGTTAGTAATGAACAGATCACCTTGGAGACACTCAGCCTGTATCCCTGTGCTCCAGCAGTTAGCTCTCAGGCTCCTGTGGGTCCCTGCAGAACGGGCAGAATCTTCTGGAAACAGGGGCTGCCCCCCGTGTCCCGAGACGCCCTTACTCAGGCCTTGGAAGTTTCAGAGTGGACCCAGTGCCCAGGAAAGAGAGGGAGGTGATGTCTGGGTAAACCTAACAAAGTTAGAAAAGATAGGATTCATAGATAAAAATGCACTACATTAAAATTCATAGAGTACCCCCCAGGGTACAATCTAGAACGCAGGAGTATCTCAAAACACAATTGCCAGCCTATGATTTTAACTTTGTGTGATTACCTCCCCATGCGCGTTTTATTTAGAACTTTGAAATTGGGGGGCTCGGTCTGTTGAGCTCCACCTCCTGATTTCAGCTCAGGTCATGATCCCAGGGTTGTGGGATCGAGCCTACTTGGGAACCCCTTCTTTCGGGTGTTTCACTGGGGTCATCCGATGTGCTTATCCTTAATTTCACCAGATTCTGTCAGATTACCTGCCCGACTCCCCCGGTGGTTTAGTGTCCCTAGCAGTGTGCGTGTGCTGATCACTCATCTTTGTCTCCACGTGGTAGTGCCAGACATGTAAATTTTCACCAAGCTGTGAGTACGAAGTGAACTCTCGTCTGGGTTTTAATTTGCGTATCCTGATTGTCCATGTTTCTCCTGCTTGTCTTTCGGCCTATATGGGGTCTTTTACTTGTGGTATTGGCCTTGGTGGTTGTCATCTGAGGCAGTGACCTTCACTCAATCCGTGGCTTATGGATTCTAGAGCGGCCTTTGCGAAACGTGTGTTGAATTTAATGAGATCAGCTTTACCCATTTTATTGTTTACGGTTTGTCCGGGAAGTCCTTCCCGCCAGGCGTAAGCCCACTGGTAGAGCTTGGCTAGAACTCCTAGTTATAAGAACATTCTGCTGGGTTTTATTCTTAACGTTTCAGGGTTCCCCATTTGATAGTCGGCTCTTCAGTCCACCACCAGTTGGCTTTTCTGTGTATCGAGAGGTAAGGACCCAATTTCAGTAACTTTGCCCCGGGTCCCGCACACTGTCCCCACTGCTTCTGGGCGTCTCCACCGCATTTCTCGGTGGGTCTTCTCTGGGCTCCCTCCGTGTCCCTTTCTCCTGTTTGTCTAGCTGGAGCTCGATCTCTACGGTCTTCATTCTTCACCAAGCAGTAGTTCTCACCTGGGCTCAGTGTCGTCCCCTGGGGACGTTTGGCGGCGACCGACCCCAGAGTTTTCCCTGCTGTGCGTGGAGTGGGGCCGTGTTGCTGGCACGTAGCAGATGGACGCAGGGCAGCCCTGCGACGAAGAATTCTCTGGTCCAGCACCTGGGTGCCTTGGGTGAGAAACCTTGTTTGATGGCGCGTCTTGCTGCGTCGGGCGCTAGAGCGATTCTTACACAGCCCCCCACACGTGTGCGCGTTTTCTCCTTGAGAGTGGCCTTGGCACTCTTGGCTCTTTGCACTTCTGTGTGGATTTGCAAGTTCCGTGAAAAGCCCTGTGCAGGCTCTGATTGCGGTTGTGTTGTTTTCTGCGTGGAGGGAGCACCGGCCTCTGAGTGGTGCTCAGCGTCCACACGGGCCATAGGCGGGCCCTTCCCCTTAGTTCCCGGGCATTAGGTAGAAGTACCCTCCGTCGCTGCTGGCGCCGAGTACTCTCCCTGTGGGAAGAGCCGGGCCTTTTCTCTACAAGGTACTGAGGTTTCCTCGTTCTTGGGGACTTGAACAAGTTTTTCACGGAACCTGCCCAGTAGCCCCTCTGTGGTTCTCGAATGTGTTAGCGGAACGTTGTCCATAGCATCATTCTCGGCCTTCATGGTATTTGGGTTGAAGTGTGCCTCCGCACCCCTTAAGTTGCTAATTCGCGCTGTTTATCCTTACTGGCGAATTTTACACAGAATACTCGTTTTTTAGTGTTTTCCTAAAGACGCAACTTTCAGTTTCATTAACTCCTCTTCCTTAGGGCTGGGCATTTTCGGGTGGATTTTTCTTTTTGGGGGGGGGGTCTAATTTGACAGGGCTCGGTTCTCAGCATTCTTGTCTGAATAAGGGGTTCAAAGCTATGAACTTTTTACAAGGGTAATGCTCACCAGTTTTTAACAGAATTCTACAAGTTTTGACAAGTGATCGTTTCTTCCTGGGTTTTTTAGATTTTCCATTATAGTTTACTTGTGAACTGTTTAAAAGCGTTTCTAAATCATGCGTGAGGTGGTATCTAGTTACCTTTGGTTACTGATTTCTAATAAGCTTCATCGTGGTGGCTGGAGAATGGGTTTTTAATTTTTTTTTTTAATTCAAGACTTCACGTTTTCCTACATGTTTCATGTGTGTTTGAAGGTAAGATTCTAAATGATCGGCTCCTGCGCGTACCATTCCATCAAGCCTGTGAGTTGGGCTGTTTAAGTATTGCCTGTTATTGAATTGTATAGTTTAATTATTAATTATCAGAGGCATAAGCGAAACTGTTTTTCCCAGGAGCATGGACTTGTTAAATCTTGTCATTCTGCCGTTCCGTAAGCATCGCCACAAAGTATATAGTCACACAAATTTTGAATTGTTCTCCTGGAAAACTGAAATTTTATTAAATCGTTAACTACTACTCTTTATCCCCATATTTTTGTTTTTCCTTAAAGCCTATTTTGTTTTCTATCAGTATTGCTATGTCATGGGCACCTGGGTTAAGTCGGTTAAGTGTCTGACTCGATTTTGGCTTAGGTCATGATCTCTCGGTTCGTGAGATCAAGCCCTGTGTTTTTCTGCATTGACAGTGGGGAGCCTGCTTGGGACTCACTCTCTCCCTCTCTCTGTCCCTCCCCAGCTTGCCCTCTCTCTCAAAACAATAAGCTTAAGAAAAATTGCTAGATCAGCTTTCTTCTCTGAGTTAATTATTTAACTACTTTTTCTTAAAGCTTTTGTTTGTTTCTCTTAATTTAATGTCTTTATGTTTTGGGAGTTTTTTCAATAAAGGGGACATAGCTAGATTTCTATCACTTTATTTTTATAGTTAAAAAAAATTTTTTTTAATGTTTTTATTTCTGAGAGAGAGAGAGAGAGAGAGAGAGAGAGAGAGAGAACCTGAGCAGGGGAGGGTCAGAGAGAGAGGGAGGTACAGACTCTGAAGCAGGCTCCAGGCTCTGAGCTGGCAGCACAGAGCCCGACGCGGGGCTCGAACCCACGAACCGCGAGATCATGACCTGAGCTGAAGTTGGACGCTTAACCGACTGAGCCACCCAGGCGCCCCTAGATTTCTATCACTTTAATTCGGTCTTCTAATCTGTTAACTGGGAAGTCGGATGCACCTACTGAGTGTTTACTGACACACCTGGCTTCGTTGCTACCTTTCCTGGTGCTGTTCCCATGCTTTTTAGGCACTTTTGCTCCCTCCTCGGTTTCAAGTCCTCCTCCTGCCCTTTTCCAGAGGGAGGGACAGAGAGAAATGGAAGGGAGCCTCTGTCCCTTTCGAACCTGCCGTCGGATGGAGGCCAAGCGCCAGACAGGCCCTGCTGATGGGCCTCCGTGTCCGAAAAGAAAACCTGCCCCTTGCCCGCCTTCTGGTGGCCCAAGGGCGCACTCGGGGCCCCATCTGACCAGTCAGCCTGGAGGAGCCTCAGGACAGCGCGGCGCTGGTATCCCTTGCGGTATCGAGGCCACGCGGGCCGTGGAGCGGGGCAGTGGCTCCGTGTGGCCGTGGCCCGGGTCTGCACCCCACCCGAGTCCACGCTGTGTGGCCCTCCTGTTGCTGCTTCGAGGAGTCACCCAAGGTACAGTAAGCCTCGCCTGCTACAAGCAGAAGCGACACGCTTCCCTACTTTAGCACCGGCTTTGGTGCGTCTGAGGTGGTCAGTCCTCCCCTTCGCCTGCCGGAACGGGGTCTTACACCCGATGGCTCTCACCCCCCCCCCCAACTCTGGCGCCAGCGGGTTCCTGGTGAGGAGCTTTGTGCTCCTATCTGATGCTCGATCTTAAATGCCATTTAACATTATATAATTTGAGAGATGACACTTCTCTCACCTCTTTGAACTTAGAATTCCGCTGTCTTCTGGCTTTTGTTGTGAAGACGCTGCCAATCTAGTTATTTCCTTCTCCGTCATGGGCCCACGTCTCTCCCGGCCGCCCCAGCTTCACTGCAGGGGGTGTACGGGAGGATGTCTTTCCTCGGTCTTCCTTGGGGTGGATTTCTGCTTCCTGAATCGGGGACGTCAGAGCCTCCAGCATGCCTGGGGGAAAATCCGCCTGCTCGTCCGTGTCCCCCGCCATCTCGTCTTGTCTTGAAGCTGGGCCGGTGCTGGGGCCTTGCGTTTTCCGGCTCTTGCGCTCAGTGTTGTTCAGTCGGGCCTCCTGGCTCGCTGGCCCCGGCCCCCGATCTGCAGTTTAACGCGGGCCCAAAGCTGTACGCTTCGGTGATGAAAATGTTCCTGTCTGAAAGTTACTTGGCTGGTGTTTGATTCCATCTTGAAGGTCATTAGAATACGTAAAGTCATTTGAATTCTCGGGAAAGGGGGTTACATTGAACTTGTTTCTGCTGACCTTCACCCAGCGTGAGGTCTGGCGCCCAGCGTGCGCTGCGGACCCGGGCCCAGTTTGTGTGTCTGGATTACCGAGAGACCCAGGGCGACGGGTGCATCCGCAGCCCGGCGCTGTCATTCCTGGACCACAGAGGTAGCCGGACTCCAGACCCAGGGCCGCCCTGACACCCCCCCTCCCCCCCCCGGGCTGGCCGATGACTCCCGGTGTTCACGTCCCTTTGCTCTTGGGAGCTCATGCTCCCCGCTCCCCGGCTGCCTGAGCGTTGTCTGCTTTTCAGATCAAAGACTATAGAGAAAGGTCACAAGAGCAGTGACAGCTTCCCCAGGAGTTTCAAGTCCAGGGGCCTCTGCAGACAGGAGGCAGAGCGGTGTTGGCAGGGAGGGAACGACCTGCGTACGGCTGCGGGGACACGGCTCCCAGGGCCCGGCTCCCAGCAGCCCCGGGCTGCGTTCCGCAGCTGCAGGCAGAGGGTGCTCGGGGTCAGCGGAACAGCCGGACCGGCTCCACGGTAGTAGCGACCATGTTGTCACGGGCCCGACCGGGGCGCGCCGTCTTTGTTACAGAAGCTCTGGGGCGGCAGGAGAGCTTCCGTACCTGGAGAACACACGTAGCTAACCGCGTGCACGTGCAGGGTTATTACAGACAAAGAGGATCATTTCTGCTCGGGCCCCTCTCTTCCCAGAGCCCATGGGCAGCATGTCGTCCATGGAGGTGAACATCGACATGCTGGAGCAGATGGACCTGATGGACGTGTGTGACCAGGAGGCCCTGGACGTCTTCCTGAACTCGGGCAGCGAAGACAACACTGTGCTGTCTCCGGCCGCAGGTGGGGGCGACAGCCTTGCGGGGAGGCCCACGCGCCCACCCGCTCCGTGCAGGGGGAGGGTCCTGGGCGCCCCATGCCAGTCCCTTGGCTCTGCCTCTCATCCCGCCACACGGGGGCCAAGTGCTCGGCCCACACACCTGGGGGGACCGGGCAGCCCGATTCAGGTCGTACCTCCTCCTCCGGCTCACAAGGCCCTTGGAGTCAGGCTGTGAGGCCTTGAACTTGGAGCTCACCCTCCGCAGCCCTTCCCCTGCGGGTGGTTACTTCACTCCTTGCTCAGTGTGGGCTCATAGTTAAGAGTGAGTCGTGCCCCTCTGGGCACTTACCTCTATTTACTGCCTTCCCCAAATAGTGGTTCGTGGAAGTTCAGTAGAAATTTTGCACGGCCTCAATCTGAGTCTCAGACAAGTCCTGCAGGGTGGGTGGGGTGGTCTCCTGTGCGCATCCTTGCTAACAAGAAGGCACTTTTCCTTCCCCGTGCCCTGAAAGGGAAAGGCCGTGACCAGGGTCCCGTCCCACAGCCCCCCTTCCTCCGGAGCCCACCCCCAGCTTGCCTGTCCTCTCGGGTTTACCTTCTGCCCGAGGCAGCGTCTCCTCCTCCCCGCTTTCAAGGGGACAGTGCCTGGGACAGACAGTATGGAGTTTAGGGCCTTTTTCAGTTCCCGTGAACTCGGAGAACTGCTAAAAGATCAGTGGCCTTGGCGCCAAGGGAAAAACTCCCTGAATCACTCAGGACGTAAATTTAGTCCTGATGGTGCGGTTCCCGGGGTGCTCTGGAAAGCAGGCGGCCTGGGCCCCAGGCGGCGGAAGGGTCTGCCCTGGTGCCACCTGTCCACGTGTCGACAGGCAGGCGGGTTCTGCAGCCACCGGGTCACCGGCGCTCCTTCCATTCGTCGCCCGTCGAGGAAGGGGGAGGGGGCGTCTCCAGCACGACCGCGGCAGCTTTCCTCTTGTGCTTGCAGGGCCCGAGGCAGGCGGCGAGCGGCTTGAAGTCACCCTCCGGGTTCCCAGCCCCTCTGCGTCGCCAGCAGAGCCGCCGTCCTCGCCGTCCGTGTGTGCAGAGCTGTCCCCCGGCGATGGCGGGGAGTCCCCCGTCGTCCAGTCCGACGAGGAGGGAGTGGAGGTGGACACGGCCCTCGCCACCCTGCACACCGACGACAGTGACGACTCGTAGGTGCACGCGCCCCGCCCTCGGGGCAGGTGCTTTGCTCGAGGCTCCCGGTCTTGACTCTGTTGCCGCCGGCGTGCGAGGCCTTGACTGTACGAAGCGCTGACAATAAAGCTTGCGGACCTCACACCCACCGGGTGCAAAGCCAGTTTGTGCAGAAGGGAGGGCGGCCGCGTGGGTTCCGAGGAGCCTGCGGCAGGCAGGGCCACCCCGTCCCCGCCTCGGCGCCGGGATCCTGAATCCATCCTCCCCAGCGGGGCCGTAGTCAGCCTGGGCCCTCAGCTGTCGCCTACAGAACTAGGGCTTCGCGAGCCGGCCCCCGCACATGATGCGAATCACCATTCCCTTCCTCCTGACCAGGAGCCGGTCACCCGCGGCCCGGTACCTAGTGAGGGAGGTGGCCCGGCGAGCTGGGCCCCCGGGGGGCGGGGGGGGGCGCCCGGGGTGAAGAGCTAAGCCGTCCGCAGCGGGGTCTAATCCAAGGGGGTTCCGACGGGCACCTGCGGACAGTGTGGGGGTGGGGGGATTAACTCACCGACGCGGGAGGGCGTCGCAGCCCTCTGCCCGTTCACGGGAAAACAGAGACCAATCTCAAAAAAACTTTGTTTTTATTATTAAACCTTGTAGTACAAACCTGAAAAGTAAACAAAAAACTGGCAATAAACAACATGGAGTCTCCCTCCCGCGGGAGGGGTGCAGAGCAGCGCTAATAAATTAAATGTCAAACTGTAAGCCAGAGGCAGAAGTTTACTGTCAAAAAGAGGGAAAGTACACAGCAAGGCCATAAAAACCGGACAACCACATTGGAAAACACGTGACTCTGTTTATGTCATTGTTAAATATTCCAAAAACAGTTCAGTCTTCTGCAACAACGACCGACAAAGTGTATCACAGGACGTTCCCGCCAGTCCCACCGGCAAGCTCAGTGCAGTGTGAGGAGCCACGGGCTCGATGGATCCAATTACGAAACAAAGGACAGCTTGTGAAAACAGTTCCCTTTTTTATTCCACACGTACTGTACACACAACCGGAGAAGGGCAACAGCTACTCCATTATTATTTTTGTTGTTGTTCAGTGATGTAAGCAGCACTTATAAATGTTACAAGAAAAACCCTGTAAGCATCCAATCCACCCGATGAAGAAACGGAAACGTAAGGCTTTTCTTCATCTTGTCTTCGCACCCTCCCCGCCCCCCCCCACCGAGAAAAAGGCTCAAGTATTTAAAACAATTTACAGGCGTATGTACAAAAGGGATGGGATTCTTTTTTTTTTTCTTTTTCCTTTTTTTTTTGTTACAACATGAAGAGAAAAAATAGACAAGATGAGCGCAAATGCATTTTCACATTCGGAAAGAACTGCAGACCTCCTAGTGGCTCTAAGTGTGACCATCAACGAAACGAGTTCAGAAAAAACGAGTTCAGAAAGAAAGATTAATGCTGACTTGTGAAGGTGTAAACCAAGCAGTGACATGAAGACGGAATGTTAGAGAGATTGCACGTCTAGGACAAAGAAGCACTTTCGGCTTCGATCACTTTTTTTTTCCTTTTTTTTTGTTTTTTGTGGTTTTTTTTTTTTTTCCTTAAGGATGCTATTGAAGGGTTTTTTTGATAAAGTAGCCAACAGCACCAAAAAATAACAGAATGGATTTCCTAATGAAATCAGGCACAGGTTTCCCTCACGTGACCCCTCCAAGGCAGGCAGGTCTGCTTTCTTCTCTCGCTCTCCTCTCTCCCCCTTCAACAGATGCATAGAGATTTGCTGGTAAAGAGAACCTCCGTTGTCCGCTTCCGCATTTCGCCTCGGGTTAGGAAACAACGTCCGCCTTCAGCTGCCAAAACCGCCCAAAGACACAAAATGGGGGTTCTCCGGTTTCAAAAATTACAAACTCATTTTGCACATGACAGAAGAAAAGACAGCCAAAGTAAAGCCATTTCTTTTCAAGTTTTGTGTGGGTGTGTGTGTTGGGTGTGTCTCCTATCCCTTTTCCTCTCTAGAAAAATCTGCTCACGTGACTGATGGTTTTTTAAAATTTGTTCTCCAAACTTCACCCTCTTCGAAAATGGGTTAAAAAAGCCTTTTTTCCCCCAGTTTACCAAAAACAAAAAAAAAAACACAAAACAAAACAAACCAAAAAGGCTTTTTCCAGCCACAGGGGCGATACAAATTAATACAGCCCCTCAAGGGTTTTTAAAACAGTGAGTATACGGCAGTTCCCCAAATCTGACTGCAGTATCTAGGTATTCTAAGTACAAAAAAAAGTTCAACAGTTTAATGCTAAAACAAAATTAGTTCTCTAAAACCAGAAGAAAATCTTCTTTAGAGCTAGTGCAAAGACAGCTTGTATCCTACAGCAAGTACTCCAAACTAGAATATAATAATTACAAAAAAATATATATCGATCGACACGGGTGTTGGCATCTTCACGACGAGCTCGAAGCACTTCGGGGGGAGGCGGAGGAGGAGAGCCGGGGCGGCGGCACGTCCACGGTCGCTCGCTTGCGGGGCCCCCTCTTCGGCGCCGGCTTCCCGAGACAGTTCTCGATGCTGCCGTTCTTCCCGGACACTTTGCCGCAGATCTGATTGACCAGGCTGATGATCTGCTCCTGCGTCGGGGCGAGAGGAAGCCGGGGTTAACGGCGCGCAAGAGCCGGTCCCCGACCCCCACCCGGGGTGACGCCGCACGACGCCGGGGTCGGCCGAGCGCTGCCCTCGGAGGGGGTTCACGGGCGCTGCGAGAGGCGGAACCCGGCAGGACGCCCCGAGGAGGACCGGCCCGGACCTGGCCCCACGGCAGGTGCTTTCCCCCCGAGGCCCGGAGGCGGGTGCGCGGAAACCCCTGACGCCGCATACCCGTACCAAGTACGGTACGTGTTGTCCGCGTCCCCCACCCCGGGGCCGGGCCACCCGGACAGGCAGCAGCAGCAGGTCACCGGCCCGCGGCCGCGTCGCCCAGTCGCCCGGGGAGCCGGGCCCAGTGCGCGGAGCGGGGGACGGGGCTGCCCGCACCAGCCTGCAGGGGCAGGGGGCCTGGGCTCTGCGTGCACGTGACCCCTGCACGTGACCTTAGGGGGAGTCCCGGGGGCTCCTTGCCCCGAGGAGGACAAGTGCCTGGACCCCTCACCTGGCCTTGCAGATAAACACGTGTGTCTACTTCTCGACCTTTCTGGGACCCCGTCCTCAGCGAGGGGGAGATGGTTCTTCAAAGTCCGTCAGGGGAACCATTTTGCTATCGGTGTCAAGAATATATCCGTAACGTCAGCACCGCTCAGAACCGTGCAGTGTGACAAGAAACCGCGGGGGAAAATACCAAAATGGCACGGGGACACGCGGAGCGGGGGAGCCTGGGTCCGCCCACGGCCCCGCCCGGGCCTCCCGCACCCCGAGCCTCTCCTCACGGAGGCGGCGGGCGGCAACGGTGAAGAAGCAAAAACCGTCCGGAAAGAGAAAAGCACCCCGAAAGCAACACGGTCTCCCGTTTGCAAAAACGCCGTCCCCGGCCGTTTTCCTACAGCACTTACGGTAAACCTGCGGGGAGCGAGCGCGCAAAGCTGGAGGCGCTTCTTTAGGAGGATGCTCCCTGGGGCTCGAGCCTGTCCCCGCTCCGTCCCTCCCACCACTGCCGAGGCCAGAGGGCGTCCCTCTGGGGCTCCCACGCCTGTTCTGAGTCCCGGCCCCGAGTGAGAAGTGACAGCGGCACGAAGCGCACGGCCCGGGAGGGGCCGATCCGCAGATCCTCACTAACATCAGGCCGATGACCAAGCAGGCGGCTTCTCCGCCCTTCTCTCCCCGCCACTCATCGGAGCGGACGATTCCGCTTCAGCCAGACTCTACAGACCAATTCCCTGTCCCACACCCTGGTCACACGGGTCACTGGGCTCCAGGTGGAAGAGCCCAGACCCCGCAGCGCCTGAAAGCCTGAGGCGAAGCCCCAGGGCGCGCGGTGGCTCCCCGCGAGCTGACCGGGCCCTGACGGCGGGCACCTGACGCGCCCTGGGGGAGCCAGACCCGGGTCCGTCCGGCGCTCCGTCCGGCGCTCGCCAAGCTTGTTCGGCCTAAGGCTTCCCCTCTGACCTCCGCCCGAGCCCCGCCCCGCGGACGCGCCACCACCCCCTCCCGAGTCCAGCCCGGGGCCTCAGACGTGTGAGGCCAGGGGCGGTCACAGCCCAGGGCGCCCGACCCCTCAGAGCTGGTGCAGGGCGTGCGGGACAGAGGCGCCCGCGGGGGACACAGCCCTCGGGGCTCAGCTGCGCTAGAGACTGAGGGAGAAGAGCCAGGCGCAGAGGTGCGTGCGGCCCAGTTGTAGGGAAGACCCCCCCACCCCAAAGCGTTCTGGGTCAGTCAAGGGGTGAGACGCGCGCTCATCCTCCAGGAGCCCGGGGCAGGGGGCGGGGCCGGCGGGCCCAGGCGATCCTGCCGGAAGTGCCAGGGAGTCACCCAAGGGGTGCGCCTGGCGCCGTGGCACCCGTCTCCGTGCCGGGTCTGATGGACACAACCCACCGGGCAACTCGGCGAGACGGGCCGGGAGGCACGGCTACCCCGAACAAAAGCGGAAGCGCATGCATGGCGACAACCGGCCGGATGGGCACCGGAAGCTGGCGCGGGGCTTGGGGGGTTGGATGCATTAAGACGAGACATCACGTTTCAGCGGAGGGCCGTCGTGCGAGGACCCAGGGCCGCCCCTGGCCTCCCACCGCGGCCCTGCCGCTTGCGTCGGACGCTCCCGTGTTCTTGACCTGGCCTTGGTCACACAGGAGTTTCTACTGAGACGAAAGATGCGGAGCGCCGTCTGTGGCACGTCCACGAGCGACGGAAGGCGGCCGCGCCGCCACGCGCCCGCTGTCCCAACCCCGGCCCAGGCGACAGCGGGCATGCACGAGGGTCATCAGTGGGAGGAAGCCGGTGCCAGGCGCCGTCGCCGGTGCAGCGGTATTCTCGGCAGACCCCGAGCCCCTCCACGCTGACCCCGCCCTGGCGGCTGCCCACCGTGGGGGTGACCGCTGCACGCAGTATGCGCTGCGGTAAGGCTGTGGCCGAGGGGACTCTGCGGGGCTAGAGAGGAAGGCTGCCCTGAGCCCCTGAGGCGGCGGCTGCTGCTCACAGGCACCCCGCGGAGAGGGAAGGCCCCGGGC